TTCACATCATGCCTAAAGTACCCAAAAATCTCAAATCTTAAATTTATTAAATCTTATCATCCTATTCATTAAAGAAATGCTTTTCAAAAATATAAAGTTGGATTTATTGCTGGGAGACATTTGCTGGAATTTGCAGCAAAAGACGTATGAAGATGATAAGAATTACGCACATTAATAGTATAAATCAAGTTGATATTTGATGCAATATAATAAATTTAAGATTAATAAACAGTCGGATTGCCCTTAAATCAAAATTATGCAATGCATTGAATTTTGTGGGCTTAATGTAAATAAAAGTATCAAATAATAGTCGAATGTAATACCATCGGATATTTTTTTATCTTTAATGGAAACTTGGGGGTTTGACGTATTAATTTGAATTTCTTAGAGTCAAATTAACAAACCACCAAGTTTTATTTAGTCCAAAAGTCCAAAAAAATTTCCTGCTAAATCGAACATCGAGTGGTATTTGTTGAGAAAATTCCACGAGTAAATAAATTAAGTCATTTTTGTGTCACTTTGGCATTTTTCTATATAATAATACATCCGTTACTATGGAAAAGGTAAATAGAAAAATACTCGCCAATTTTAGTCACTTGCATTTATGTTCCTTCCTTTTTATCCGTCAGCAAACCGTATTTTTGAGAGTGGAATTGTCGAAGATAATTTTCATACCGAAACTTTTTTACTTTGTTGCCTTTTCAATTTAATCATTAAAATAAACAACAATAAAATTTCAAATAAAGTTTGTTTTTTTACAGAAAACAAATTATAATTTTAGTTTTAGTATTTAAAATGCCGTCAGGTTAAATAGATATATCTACTTGACGTATACCGATTACTCCAGTAAATTCAAGATAAATTTAAGGCAAAATAATTTAAGTAATAAATAATTAAAATATTAACAAAAAAACTTACATTTTGAGGTGATTGATCAAATCATTTTATTACGCAATTATTATAAATACTATAGACGTCCATAGACCTCCTAGAGCAAAATGAGTGATATTTTTTAAATCAGTGGCCGAAAATTAGTTATACTAGGCCGGAGTACTTAATGTTAAAAAAAAAGTTTATAAAACTATCATAGTGTTATGAATAATTTTATCTACTCCTACATTGACGAGCTGTCACTTTATAGCGTTTTATTGACGACAACAGTGGCTTTTCGACATTTTACGTCACGGGCTGAAGTTAGCTTTATTATAAATTGGGAAAAAGTGAGGTTAAATTCGGGTGACAGTTGACAGATGTCAAAATTTTAACAAATAAAATTGGGTTTAAATTCTGTTTTGTGTTCGTCGTAGTATGCAACTCGTTTATAAACTTCTCTAGACACTCGTTTTTATTAAACACTCGCTCGCAAGCTTCGCTCGTGCTTAATTAAACTCGTAACTAAAATGGCGTTTATAAAACTTGATACATAATATACTATTTTAGAAAATTAAAAAAAGTTTCGTTTACATTCCTAAAGTAATTCCAATTAAGTTAGTACGCTTTTTACTTTAAGTTATATTAGCTAAACTCTATAAATGCTCACTTTCACTATTTGGGTACCCACAAAAAAACTTGTGTCAAAATTATATAAATCTGAAGTTTAATTTTATTCTGACGTTTACATTCAAGGCAAGAGGGAATGAAAATATATACAGGGAAAGGAATAGGATTGTTCACAGCGCGCTGCAGCGGGAGAAATGAATGTCATTAATTTCTCCCGTTGTAAACAATCTAATTTAATAATTATTAACAATTGCGAAAATAATCGACGCATAATAATTATAACCACTCGACAAAAAAAAATTACCTAATTAATTAAAAAATTTCTATTATTATTAATTTTTCTTCGACTAAATATTACAATAGTTCAGCAATATATTCTATTCAAAATCGTCAGTAAAGGTCTTTTTGCATTTGAAGAAATTGTTTGCTTATTCTAAAGAATAAGCCATATGGACTTACTGAAGCTACCTATAGGTATAATAAGTATACATATAGGTATAATAAGTATACTTATTTGACAAATGGATATTTTTGAAATAATCCCTGTATAAGAGGAAAAAATATTTTGTTTTAACAAAACTCAACAAAACACCGTAAAACAATTTTGAAAGAGTCCAAATTAAATTTTGATTGAACAATGAAAATAAAATAAGACAAACTATTGAGGATCAATTTTAAAGTGGCCACCGTTGTTCTGTAAGCTTCTGGCTCGTTTCATCAAGTCCTCCATACTGTAGTGTCCACAGCACTTTGAATTTTATTTTGATATTCTCTCTCTGTATTGAATGCTGCAAGGACTTTGTTTATTAACTCTTTTACCTTATTTACCTTTGTTTCCCTTAAAATGAAATAGTCAAATTTTTTATTTGAATTAGTACCAGGATTGTTTAATAATAGTAACTGAATTTTTCCTTCCTTGACTATTTCATTCGGTAGAATTAATTATTAATTAATTTACTCCTTTTTCGCTATGACAAGCTTATCTTAACCGGTGGATAGGCCACGGAGGACCCAATGCGTGGCTCCCCAGATCTTCTGATTTAACACCATTAGATTACTTTTCGTGAGTCTACCTAAAGGCTATTGTTTATAAAACAGAGGTCAACACGGTCGAACAGTTAACAAACAGGATATCTTGCTGCATTCAATGCAGTGAGAGTAGATCAAAATAAAATTCAAAGTGCTGTGAGATACTTGAGGATTTATTCTGTGGACTTGACGGAACGAGCCAGAAAGTGCCTACAAAACAACAGCGGTCACTTTAAAACAATAGTTTTTTTAATTGTTTATTCAAAAGTTTATTTAAGTTCTCTTAAAATATTTTGTTTTGGTTTTTGTTGAGTTTTATTAAAAATAAAATATTTTTTGCCTTTATGCTAGGACTTTTTTCAAAAAATCTACAAAATAAATAAGTATGGTCCACTATAGAATAACCGGACAATTTCTGGAATTACAAAAAGACCAATGATTTTAAATTGATTTTCTTGCTAAACTATTTGAATATTTAACCAAAGAAAAATATATAAATTGAAAATATTTCAATATTTTTTTTTTAGGCTTTGATGATGCCTTTCAATTTTACTATCCACCAGTCTTCTCAAAACCATGATACAACCTCCCCAAAACCACCAACAGAAATAAATATTTCTTTTGATGTGCAGAAATTGAAACACAGTAAATTATTAAATAAATAAAATAAGATAAACTGTACAAAATAAAGTTAAATAGGAATATGTCGTAAAATAATAATAATAATCTTTATTCATCAACTAAAGACTAAAATACAAAACACACAGGCTTTTGGACTGGTCAAAACAAAATTAAGTAGTTAATTCTATTAAATTAATAGTAACACACGGTATAAATATACATCTAAATTAAAAACTTATAAATAAATAATACAAAAAAACAATAAAATATTTCAAGTATTAATTAATTAAAAAAACATAAACAAACAAACGTATATATAACTATAACTTATATTTAAAGAACTCATCCACGCTATAATACATTTTATTTAAAAAAGTGTCTTTAAGACGTTTTAGGAGAATTACAGTGCTTTTGCACTCTACAACTAAATTATGAACACAGGCCCGGCTCCAGACATTTTGGTACCCCGTGCAAAGATATTTTTGCCGCCCCTCATAGTTACCTACTTTTTAGTGCCCATTAATTATGTACAATTTCTAAAAAAAACTACTTAAATAATATCGTCCCCTTGATGCTACAATTGGATATCTGAAAAAACACATTTGTAAATAAATTATTCTAAAATTGGTATGTATACTTATAAGTATTTAGTAGAACTGGATTCGTAAAATTTCGAGTTATCCAGTTGTAGTATTAAGGGAAAGATAAAATTAACAAAAAAGTTTAAAAAATTATTATTTAATAACAAACAAATAAAATATCATCGCATTCTAAAAAAACAGTAATATAATCTAATAATAATTATTTTATCTAACATTATAAAACTGACCAGTAGTAAAAATAATAAAAATCTGTTTAAATTAAAATTAAATGGAAATATCTAATTCAGAACCTATATCGTATTGTATTGAATAACTTTTTGCCACCTTTCGATTTTTGCCGCCCTTCGAATTTTGCCGCCTCGTGCAGGGGCACGGCTGCACGTACCCTGGAGCCGGCCCTGTATGAACATGATTAAAACATTTAATTCCCTGATATTCGGGTGATGCTTGAGAGACACTTATACCCGTTTGCACCAACATATGGCTTAATCAAGATTAACTAATCTCAATTTATAGCTAATCCTCTTTAAACTTTGATTAGGTGAAGAACTCTAAATTAAGAAATTTAACTAAAAGGAAGTGAAACAAATAATTAAACTAATAAAATGAATTAAATAAACTTTTGGAGTAAATCTAATCTAAACAAATTGGTTTGAAATACAATAATTACTATAGGTACCTTACACTGAATCAGTAAAACTGCAGTTACATTTAGCCTTTTTTATTATTGTTTGTATTTTTTTTTTAATAAAATTTTTGATTTACTGATTTTTAATTTGTTTGTTAAATACAAAATTCGGCAACGGTGTAATTTAGTCTTATTAATTGATACCGATTTTGCGCAGTAATCTACTGATTTTAAACGCTACTTTCTCCCGATTTAGCATTTTGACGTTCGACAACCCTGAGAGCTAGGGCTAGAGCTAGGGCGAGCCGCACGTGACGTGGCCCATGTTTATAATACATAAAGTGACCAGATTCTGTCAAAAAATAGCTGCATGTAGCTAAACATATTTGTTAAAAGTCCCTAAGAACCTCATCACAAGTTAGTTTTTTTTTGGAAAATGCAATTAAAAATAATAATATTTACAAAAGTATGCAATTGAAATAAAGTATTTTTACCCAAACCTCTAATAAAGTTTACAAGCTAATTTTAATGCCTTTAATTGCTTTTTAAATATGTTTTAAAACACACATTTTAAAGGTATTTAAAAGTAGAATATATTTTAACTTTATTTTGTTTCTTAGATATCACCAAACTTAATCCATCAATCATATGGCGTGACGCAGATGTACAAACCGATCCCATACAACAACCCGAACTACATCGCGCCCGGAACATCGCACCAAATGGCAGCATATCCATCAGCAATGCAATATTCTGCCATAAGCCCAATGTACACAAGCCAGCCGACATATCCAACATCACAAGTACGCCAATATTCCGGCTACAACCAACACGGAAGCCCCATCAAGGCATACGTGAACGTGAACTCTTCTCCAAAACACATTTCATTTGATCAACCAGCTGCCTACAGCCCCAGTCACAAATTCTACGGTCCCCCAGTGCAAGTACCGATCGCACCAAAAGTTCCGTTCAGCAATGGGGATTTGATACAATCCCAAATGTACCAACAGCATCAAATGCAGCAGTACCATCAGTACAAAATGGCCAGGGAGCAGGTGATGGCTCAACATCAACCTTACCCTGGACCTGCGCCACCGGCCAACTATAGAGTTGTAAGGAACTATCAAAGTAGCGTCACCATTCCAATAGTGAAAACCCCCCAGCAAGAAATGAATTCACATTCTCGAAAACAATATGAACTGACGTAAATATTCAAGTAAACATTTTAAATAATGTCACAAATCAAGATAACCTTACAATTGTATTTTATTTTGAAACAAAACTTTTCACCGAATCCGATATAACAACTTAAAAGAAAGCAGCTTTATTTCTTTGGTTCAATTTTAACTTTGACAATTGTATTCCTGATTGTATTTTTCTACTTTTAAACTAAACTTTAGTTTAGCTACGAAAACTAATGTAAAGGAAAACTGAATACAATATAATTAAATACCTAAATACATATAGTATTTACAGTTTTATTAAAGTTACACATTTCATTATATATTACAAAAGACACGTGATATTATGAAAACCAAATATTTATTAAATAAAAATAAATAACTCTTTTTATATTTTATGTTAAATAAATCCTTAATTTCTGTATAATGTAAATTAAATAAAAAATGTAAATTATAAAATTAATAAAAATTATATGTAATATATTTATATTATAAACCGTTGAAATGTGATATGTAACTTTATATTCTTTCTATTGGTTTTTGCGGTCCCTAAATATCGGGTGGGCCATAAAAACATGTGGTTTTATTATTTAGAAACTATTTTTAAACTGTTTATAAATAAATATAAAGTTAGGGAAATTGGGGACAGCTCGTCTATTTTAGGAGTGAGGTTTTGTGTTTAGTAATGACTCCCAAACTATTAGGTTTAGTTTAGGATTTATTACACAATTAACTTGATATTTAGTAATTATTTATAAACAGTATAACAATGGACACTTAATTAAAAACAGTTTTCAAGAAGACTGACTATTTCTAGTATTTATAGTATAGTGTATCGAATCAAGATGAAATTTTCTTTACAACACCTCAAAACTGAGGCCTCAGTTAGTTGAAGCATCTGGAACAGAAGGCGGAAGCAGTGTTGGTAGTTCTAGGTAAAAACAACATTCTTTAGGGAAAAAGGGAAATTTGTACGAATCTAGAGATTTTTTTTAGTTAAATGTCTTTTTTGAGAGAAAAGTTCTTGAGTTCAATTTGACTCTTACTGACCAGCACCAGTATTAAGTGCAGTGGCCATCAGACAAAACGTATGTCAAATGGAACTGTTTGGAAAAATCCCTCGGGTTGAAGCAAGGTATATTATCAATAAATACGATCGTATTTCATCGACGGGACCGCGACCTTGTCTCTTCTTAAATAAGATACATATATTTTACACTTTTTCATTAGATCAGCACACCACCAAAGACAAAGTCGAAAAAAATATTTATAAAATACCTACATAAATAAAAATTGACCACGCCCCTACAGGGAAATTCTAGGGTATTTTTTAGTTTTTAGTAGGGAATTTCTGTTTTTAATTTTTTTTTCATGAAATTTATATTTTTGAACCTGGCATTTACAAGGCAAAACAGTTTCCTGTTCAAGTTGGTGCAAAGTTGAAATATCATTTTCGAGTTATTTTATGTAATTTTCGGTGGAAACAACTTTAATTTAAAAATTGTGATTCTAGGGTACTAACGAGATTTAAAAGTTTTAATTAAGATTTATTTTCAATAATAAAGATATTATTAAAAAAATGCCATTTAAGCTACCAAGTTCCTTAAAGCGGCACAACACTATTGGACTCTGTACATTGGCGATTATTGCGGCCCTGGTATCATCCAGTCCTTGGTTTCCTTAAACTTGTTCTTTTAAGTGAGGTCTATATTTTTAAGGCCCACCCTATAAACATAATTGATTTTGTAACCATTTTTTAGGGTAAAATGTATTAATAAACAATAATTTATTAGGCCCAATATAATTGTTAATTAGTCAAGAAATGTAATTAATGCTTATTTAATTAAAATAAATGGTAAAAACCTTAGACAATAAAAGTCTTTGTCTACAGGTAAAACCAATAAAATAATTATGTGCAAGATAAATTTTCTTTTAATTATTAAACAAAATAATAAATGTGATGTGTATGAATAAAATTCTTAAAATTAAGCATAAAAATAAAATTTTGAATTATTATATGATTAAAACCACATACCATATCGATATTTGTATACATATGTAAAATTGTAAAAATGTATTAAAATCTAGTTTTAAAATAAATACTTAGAAACTCAACTTAGTTTTATTGAAGAGTATTAAAAGCAAATTTAGCAAACTCATTTTCATACTTTTTACCCTTAATCCTAAATGATTTCCACAATCCATACCTGATCTCCCATTTATCCAAAAGAAACTCGGAAGAATTACTTAGCACCAGATGCCTTGGATATTCGCAAGCAACTTTTAAGGGGGGCAGCATATGATTCGCCATTTTGGCACGATTGTAAATAACTTTGTTAACGTAATTATAAAAATGATCAGCTTTGTGAATGTGGCAAACTAAACTCAGTAGACTTATCGCCATGGCATGTAAGTACGATTGATGTTCAAATGACATTTTATCTTTGTCTGCCAGTGCGTGGTTTTGAATGCCCATTGCAAGACAACAAACTGACGCTGCTGTGCTTCCACTGGGTAATTGGCAACAATAGATGCAGATGATGCAGTAAACACGTTCCAACACTTCTCTGTAAAAAAATGGGTTTCATTTGAATTAGAAAACAATACCTACTGTTGTCCTAATAAAGAAAGTGAATATTTGCTTGTTTCAATGACTTTGGTTTAGAAACTTTGTTATATAATTTCTTATTCCTTAACACATTCACTGCCCACCCCAAAAAAGAGTATTGCTTCAGGTAACACCTAAGTTTTTCTTCATATTTTTTAATTTAAATAAGTGCATCTTGTTTCAAATAAATTCTAGCATAGGTTTTCAATTTTATTTTTTGAAAAAAAACAAAAAACGCACCAGGTGCGTTGTGGGCACTGGTTGAGTGATAAACCATGTTCAGTGCCTATAAACGCGCCCCACGCGTTCTTGTTAATAAAATGGGAAAATCTTGTAAAATAATGTTATTTATTATTAAGAAGGCGCCTAGCGCGGTGTGGGCATATGGCCGCAGTACTTGTAAACGCGCCACGCGCGTTTTGGGCAGTGAATGTGAACATAATTATATTTGAAATATTAAGGTACCGGTCTATACTTTTAGACATCATGATAAAGAAAGTGGATATCTATATTTGGCTTCCCACATGGTTCTTAAGTTAAGGTGGAATTAAAACTATTGGTATTTAGGTTTTTATTTAAAAAAAAGTTCCTAAAATGCTCAAATGCTAAAATAGAGAAAATAATGCCTTTTGAGTACTTTTTTAAAAGCCACCCAGTAAGCACCAAACACTCGGCAAACAGTCGGCCTTCGCTTGGCATAGGCGGTTGACCGGCGGTTCGGCTTGCCCCCAGTCGTCCCGCGTATGGCCCACGTTATGTTAGCCCGGTACCGTTTGGCCATGTTCTAACCTAAGTCCGCCAGAATACGGCGTGCCGCAAAATCGTTTGGCTTGCCCTAGCCGGCCCGCTTACGACCGGAATACGGCCTGCCGCGGCATAAGCGATACATCTCACGCCTGCTTACGCAAGCGAGCTAACTATAAATAGCGATGGGTTGCAATATTTAGTTGGAAGTGTGCATCCGTAATGGCATAGCTGAACATTAATTGTTTGGAGTCCCCATCTCCATCCTCATCTGCTCAGTAACGAATAATGTCTAGCTAGTCGAGTGTGTTAAAGAAGTATTTGCCATTTAGAGAATTTCAGGACTGAACTTATAGGATAGGCGGTTGTGGCCGACACTCGGCCGAGTAAACATAGCCGACATTCGGTCAGGCGGATATGCCCGACAGGCGGACATGCACGGTCTACACGCCGGAATAAATATGGGGTCGCACGCGGCCGATTCGGCAAAACGTATTCGGGCCGTATGCGGGCCGGCTAGCTTGTGCTTACTGGGCATACAGGGGTACCTTAACTTGAGGGCTACGGCGAACGGCAGCTTTTCAGTGGTGAGTCGGGTCGATGGGCAAATATTGCCTAGGGTGCACCAAAATTATAAATCAAACAACAACTCACATAATGATCGTTTGACAACAATAATGATCAAATATAATTTTAATTTATTTTTATGAACCTGACTTTTTATAAACGCCCTTATTCGCCAGTAAGATTGTGTCTGACTTAACTGGATTTAAACAACTGGCTTAAATAAGACACTGGCGCCCATTTTTTCATTGCATGTAAGTATCAAAAAACAATATTTGCTCATCGACCCAACTCACCACTGAAAAGCTGCCGTTGGCCATAGCTTGCAGGGCCATATATGGTTTACATCGTTATTGTTGTTAAGAGTTAAAATCATCAAAAAAATAAACTAGTATTACCTAAAGTTAAGTTAGAATTATAAAGTTAATTAATTAAAATATAGTTAAGTGTGGCGAAGAACCATTGTTCGTCGATAAATAAAAATATCCTTATTATTTAGGTACGACCTGACTGTAGTTGGGGCTCTGGTAGGGTGGGTTTCAAATCGGTTTTTTTGACCTTTAAATCTCCCATCATGTCAGATTTTACAGCATGGCTATTCGATAACGTAAGGCAACATCAAGGTAAATAGTAGGTACATTCTGTAACAAGTTTTGAATACAGCATATTCCGCTTGAGTGAAAAGTTTATTCTTTTAAACGCCAAACTTACCCTTACCCAAAGATAATACCCCCTTACCTCTTAAAGGTTTTTAATTTTCCAGAGAACCGTCCAACGCTGAACATAGTTCAACCAAACTTCGCAGAATAAAATAAATTGCTGCCTAAAATGGAGAAAGCGTCGGTCAAAAAAACTAATTTCAGTTCAGTTAAAAATGTTTTAGTCGAAACCACACAGCTAGACTGAGAGATTTACCACATATTAGGGGGCGTTCATTAATTACGTGAGGCAATTTTGGCGATTTTTTGACTCCCCCCCTCCCCTTGGTGAGATATCGTGAGATTTTGCTCGACCCCCTCCCCCCTCCCTTAATCTCACGTGAGATTTTTTTAAATGTATAGTTTTAATAAGTAAGTTTAAATAAGTTAATCCGTGCTTCATTCCATTAGATTTATTAAAAAAAAACAATTTGCTTATAATTTTTTACTTAATTTAACCCTCGTTTTCTCGCAATTTTACATTGTTTCTTTCGAAAAAAAAAATTACGTGATATTTGCCGAGACCACCCTCCCCCCCACGTGAGATTGGGTGAGGTTTGGCTCGACCCCCCCCCCCCCCCCCCTAAACACCTCACGTAATTAATGAATGACCCCTTATTGGAGATTTTCTAAAATCTAAGCTGAACTCTCATCTAGGTAATCGCTTCAGTGGTCAAATCGAAGAGAACGCTCAAGTTGAGCGTTCTTTTCGATTTGAGCCGCTCAAGTTGAGCTCAAGTTGAGCGGCTCAACTCAAAGTTTGATGCGTAGAAAATTCGCTAGAAATTTCTCGAATCCAATCCGACAAATTAAACTAATTAAAAACCTTAAAAACGTTGCCTATGTATCAAAGGCAACCACAATTCACTGGAGTGTTCTGGGTTGCATACTATCAAAATCCAATTTTAGAATAAAATAAAGAAAACTTCCTTAAAAGTAAAACTAACCACTGTTATCATTCTTAGGCAACGCTCCGCCCTGACGGTAAATGGAACACCAATTTGGAAAGAGGTAAATAAACAACTATCCTCATTTAAAATGTACTAAATAATTAAACTAAAATAAATCACTCAACGGTTAATCTATACCATTATAGACGTAAAAAAATAAATAAAATAAACGGGTAACTGTTAAAATGACTGTTACAAGATATTTTAGTGGGACAAAATCTATATATATATATATATAAACCGATAAATATTTTTGATTCAAAATAATTTTTCTTGTTTTCAAAAAACCAAATATTTTTTAAATTACCTTTTTTATATTCAAATTTTTTTTATGTTTTGGGGTTAAAACAAATGAAAAAATGGAATAATAAAATGAATACCAATCAATCATAAATCGTTTTAGAATCCTAAAAATTACGTTTAAGTTTGAAAAAAAGTTCATTTTAGAGTATGAGTATGGGTATGAGTATAAGAACGTATGGCAGGCCCCATCGACATTACCTTACACTAATCTCCCAGGGATATTTTACCCCCTTTCCGTTCTCCTACGTATCCCGCCACTGCACAGCATTACCTGTGTTTGTTGGATCCGAAGTTTTTACGCCGGCTGGTAGATCTACCCTAGGAGGTCGTGGATGACAGTTTCGATGGTTAAGGCCACTCCCGGATTTTTGTCGCCGGGTCGGGCCATACGTCCAGTTTAGGCTGGTGGAGAGCGGGACAAGGAGGGTAAAAAATAGTTTTTGGAGGACATTAAACTAACCCAAAACTAAGTACAATCCGGAATTCTCCTCAACCGGGGCTTTGGTAATTGGGATTCATGAATGGGGGTCGGGGTGTTAGTACGCTGCTAGAACCTGTCCTTTTTGGTGTTCTAAACGTCCCTTTCCTAGTCTGTTTCCGGTTCCTGGTAACCTCTTTAGAATTGTTTGCCCCCCTGTGAGGTACTGAATCTTGTCTTTAGTACCGAAATGTTGACGGCCACGACCCACCGTAAATGCCCTCTGCCTTCGTGGATATTCCTCATGCCGAGTACCGGCTACCGACCTTGTATATTCTTTATTTGTTTATTGTTAAATTAGTGTTTATATATAAACACTAATACGGTATACCGTTTACATTTAATTTATATCTTTGCATTCTTACTTTTTTTTTCAAATTTAATTTAAAAATATAAATATTAATATACAAAATAGATAAAGCCGGCCCTGAAGTGTACGTAATTGGGATACGGCCCTATGGCCACGACCCGCCGTATGTGCCCTCTGCCTTCGTGGATATTCAACCCCTCATGTCGAGTACCGACTATCGACCTTGTATATTTTTTATTTATTTTATTGTTAATTAGTGTTTATACCGTTTATTATTATTTAATTTATATATTTGCATTCTTACTTTTTTTCCAAATTTAATTTAAAAATATAAATATAAGGTAATATACAAAATAGATAAAGCCGACCCTGTAGTGTATCGTATTAAAATTTGAAATACGGCCCTTATGACAGGCGTGTAACGTATGCTTTAATAGATGGTTTGTTTACGTTAGATTTTAACGTGGTCGTTTTGTTTATTAAGAGATTGTTTATTTACTTACTTTCGTTATTTTTTAAAGCTTTAATTTGTGGCTGGGCTGTAAGTTTATGTGTATATTATTTAATATTTATAATACAATAATATAATATTGTGACGTTCTTACTTGATTTGTTTTTTTTACACTCCTACGCTGTTATCGGTAATGATTAATTGTTGAGAGGTTTTTGTAACAGATTTCCGTATTAGGTCATGCAATGATACTTATCAGAATCTGCAGGTGATGATCCCTTCCACTCCTGGTTAGACTAATTTTTTCTTTAAATAGGTGATTCCTTGACCTGTCCCCTGTCCCCTTTATTACTTCCGTGTCCGCACGGACCTCACCCCTGTGTTCACCGTTGAGAGATTGCCTTTTGAGGAATTATTTAATGTTTCTATTAACCCTTTGGAGAACAGGTACCCTGATTTCACCTGTACAGGTATGTAATAACCCGAAATAGTAGCACTGTTTCGCACCGCACTTTACTCGACTACACTGTATATAATATTTATGTTTCTTTAAGAATTTTATTGTGGATAGGAACTATAAGAGCGCTCGAACTACACATCCACTCTCTTACCCGTTTGATTTGAACATGAAAAATAATACATAAAAATAAATAAATATGCCAATTTTTTGGGTTTAACTTTAAATTTAGAGATCTACTTTCTTTATCAGGATACCAAAATATGTTAAAGTTAGTGTATTAACCTGCAATCCATAAAGTTTTTTAAGCAAGCCAACAAAGATAGTCTTAAATTCACAAGAAAACCAGCATACTGCTTTTGACTCGTGCTAATTTTTTTTATATTTAAACCATAGTGTTCGTCTTTCAGAAACAATCTGTAATGTAAAAATATACTTTATTATTATTATTATTTCTATATTTTATGTAGATTTTTACAAGAGTAGAAAAATTAATACCTAGGAGTTTCAAACTTTTTCTTATTACCCAAAACATCGGCAGAGTTGATACCAATTCTTGCCAAAAATCGTATAATATTAATATTGGTATCGTACCAATGCGATAATGATAAATTTTGTATATCTAAAATTTCACTTCCTGAAGTAAAGTCGTTCCATACAGAGCCATACATTTCAACCTTTGCTGCCATATCAGCCAGTTCGATTACAACTTTGTTTGACACTATATCATAGAGCATATCACAAGTTATGTAAATCTAAATAAATAAAAAAATAATAATCTGGAACTATTAAGATTCTTTATTCATACAGCTTTTATTCTGTTTGAAATCTTCAAAAAGGGAAATAATTTTATTAAACAATATAGAAGCCCATATTTTAATGGGACATAATTGAATTCATCAGTGTCCAAAGGTTCTATACTGGATCTATACATATGTAAAATAACTGATATAAGTTCAAATGAAATATCACTAAACTCAAGATTATCCAAAACTAATAAAATAACCGACATACAATGATGAGCCTCCAGTACATTTTCAACAGACGTAATTTCACAAATAACTATAAAAAATGTGATTATTTATGGTGTCCCGCACTAACTTACGCTGTAGGGGGGAATATTTTAAGTAGGTATACAAAAAAAAAATCGAGTGATTATTGAGTTCTTAGGTTTTAAATTAAAATAACCCCTCCTTTAGCAGCTTGGAAATCCGCTAGTGCGTCTTTTTTGGTAACCTGTAAATAGGTATTTTTAATTTTCTTACATAAAAGTTGTAGTATTATGTCATCCAAATTATTAGTTTTAACGATGAGAGGAATTAATATTTCACAGCATAAATATTCACATCTCCAAATTTTTCCTTCTCTAAGAAATAAGATGGTCCCATTTATTATTACATTATGATGAGCCTTTGGTATAAAAGTTAGCAAATCTTCATACACATTTGTTGATTTTTTAAATTCTTTTCTGTAAAATCCTTTTAAATTAATTGCCTGTGCTAGAAAATTTTATGAATGTTACCTACACCTATATTTTTTTGAATATTTTAGACAATACAAAAAGGCTTTAAAATAGATTTTTTCTACGACCACTATGTAAAAGTCACATTTCGTATTGGCATCGTTGCTTAGAAAATGAATCTTTTCATTGGCAAGGCAAAACACGAATGTAAAGTGACATTTCTGTGTGAAAAGTGACAGGTCTGTATGAAAAGAAATTGACAGCATCGTGACATTTGTTTCAATAGTTATTTGTTTTACAAGTGTTGAAAAGCGACTTTTTCATGCGAGTTTTTAAGTTGCCCACGAGGCCGTTAGGACAAGTGTGCATTAACACGAGCTTGAAGAAAGCTTTTCTCACACTATAACACAATGATTTTTCTGCGACCCTTGTATTTTTTATTATTTTTAAATACAAAACAAAATAACCTAAAAACTTTTTTGACAGCTGAATGTCAAACGATGCTTTCCGTTTCTTTTTACACAGACCTGTCACTTTTCATACAGAAATGTCACTTTACATTCGTGTTTTGCCTTGCCAATGAAAAGATTCATTTTCTAAGCAACGATGCCATCATGAAAAGTGGCTTTTACATAGTGGTCGTAGAAAAAATTTGTATTGTATTTGTATACAGGGTGTTTCAATAAAAACTCCCAGACCAATATTCGTCTGGGAATAATATTATTTCTAAAACTAAAAGGGAAATTTAAATTCTGTAAACGTCAGTTTTTAGCCTCTATGATTGACTTCACAACTGTGTAAAAAATGTGTTTAAATAATACAAGATGTAGGTGGCGCCACTGTGCAAATAATTTTTTCGATGGAAGGTACTTTTAAATTAATTTTTAATCAAATTATGTCCCATGCAAATTTTTGATAAATTCGACATTTTTTTAAATAATTTTAACGAGTATTTTAATTATAAATATTTTTAATATCCTTTAGAAGATGTTCATTTAATTCTTAGTTTTCGAAATAATTGGTCTGGGAGTTTTTATTGAAACACCCTGTATGTAGGTATGTATGTATTTATTAATAAATTCTAATTTGTAGTGCCTTTATTTAAATTGAGAAGGTAAGTTTATTGATTTTAAGTAACTTATACGGTCAATCAAAAAAGTTGGGGTAGAAAAAATAAGTCCAATCTATCAAACCAAATTTATTAGTACGACTGGTTTCGTTTTTTTAATTTTAACCTACTTGCATCTTCAGGTACATTTTTTTTTAAATAATTCAGCATTAATGATTAAGCTATCTTATCATAGAGTCTAATTAAACAGTTAAAATCCATTATTTATTTCGAAATATATTACAAAAATTCATTCAGTGTGGTCTTGACCGTGAAGAGAGAAACAGTTACTTATACCTTAAAAATTAAGATGAAAGTAATTTTAACAGCTGTCAAACACGTTTTTAGGTTATTTTGTTTTGTATTTAAATATAATAAAAATAAAAGGGTCGTAGAAAAAACATTTTTTTTTACTTGTAAGAAAAGCTTTCTTCAGGTCGTGTTAATGCACACACGGCCTGACGGCCTTGTGAGCAACTTAAACACTCGCATGAAAAAGTCGCTTTTCAACACTTGTAAAACAAATAGGTAACTATTACAGGTGTAGATTATAAATATTAAGATTTTAAGGAATTTGACAGTGTAATATAGGGCGATATAAATTGACAAGATGAAAATTTTTTGGGTTCCAGCAGTAGACGCTATATCAATATTAATTTTAAGTAAAATATTTTAAAATAAATACCTATAAATATTTCTTATTATTAATATTATTTCGATGTATTATTTATTTATAAAAGGAATAATCATTATGGTACAGGTAGTAAATTTCCAATAAACGAATTAAAGTATGGGAGCAGAAAAAAACTATTTTTCTACTCCTATTACGGAATTTGACCGTTCTATTATCACTTTTATCTATGGAATGACATATATTCCGTAAAGTGTTACAGAATGAAATATTCTATCATCCTATGACAGAATAAACACTCGTGGCGACATCTCTGTTTTTAACCTTCCGGCGGGCGCAGCCGATCTAAGAGATACACCAGTTAAAATATTGCACGCGGACGCACTGTTTTTATATGCATAACTACCCACCCTTCAGTAGCTTCATATTTTTAGGACTTCTACCGATATGTCTACTGCAGTTTGTGTTTGATCGCCTTGTAAGGTGACGGCAGGCATTTTGATCTGCTAGATACAGTGCGCCCGATTGCGTTATACTGCAGTATTACATGTAATATTTACAAAATTTTAACTTTTTATGAACGAAAGTATTGATTTATAACTTTTTGTATGCATTTTTACTTAAATTTATAATTTGATAGTACAGCAAGAAGAAGAACAACCACCTCAAAAACGAAGATGGCTTTCTAAATAAAGTGCAAAAAATTAGTTATATTTGATTTTATTTGCGCATTTTATTTATGTATAGTATTTAATAAGTTAGTATATAGTATTATAAAAAGTAGTGTTAATTATTTATTTGATAAAAAATATAAAAAAGCACTTTACTAAGCCTATCTGAAAATTGAATCTGTCAGATCACTGCGCCCGAACTCGTGCACAAAAGATGTGCGCCCGCCGGAAGGTTAATATCTAACAAATTTTAGACCGATCCAACCTCACTTTCTTCCAATCAAATGACTTTTTTATGGTATTTTTTGGAAACGTAGAAAAAGTATAGTCTGAAACACGTTTGGAATTGCATATTCGGCTCTTGTGAAACCGTCAAACTCGCCTTCGGCTCGTGTGACAAACTCTTCACTCCAGCGGAATATGCTGTATTCCAAACTTGTTACATGCAGAATATACTATTAAAATATTATTATAACATTTTAACACAAGTTTTATGTAGATATTAATAATCTTGATTCTATGCAATTTTTAATTTAAATGAATCAGTATCGGTAATTTTATGCTGCAATTTTTAAATGGATGGATGTATCTTGTTAATGTTTCTTTTATCAGAAATAGCGTTTCTTTGGCAGTAAGTAAACATAATTCCATGGAATTATGCATTCAATTTTGTTGCCATAAATCAGTTTGTTAAATGGATTTGACAAATATCTCTTAATAGCTATTGTTTACCTTCTTAAATATGATATTAATCCACTTGTAGTTTTTAGACGAACATGAAAGTGATGCATACACAAAAACATGGCCCATATTAAATGACACGCAGGATTCTCCAAGACTGTATCCCCTTGTCCTGTCCTAATGAACTGTTTTATAAGCTTTAAAGCCCTTATTCTGTTTAAATGTAGCTGATGGCGATCTCTTTCAGGTTTTAAACATAACTTATCCAAATGCTTTACAATTACATCGATGTTGTCGCTTTGACGTGGTCCTTGTTTTGGTAAAGAAGTAAATGAAACCATAACTAAAAGATTAAAAAAATAAACCTTGATTGGATCTTTTTTTAAGGTTACATCCATATTTACTTTTATAAGTATACTTATTATTTTATCTTGTCAAGTGCTTTTATTTCATAAATCATTTAATATTGGTTCGTTCGAGTAAATGTAATAATCATAAAGACTTTTAAATCATTTAAATATCACTTTCCTACATAACTTACAATCAACTCTTTCAGAAAAATCATCAAACGCTTCGCTTTGAACAAAACTTATAAGAGATTTTCGAGTCGGTCCCTTAGTAATTTTAACGAATTGTGTTTTTCCAACTTTTGACTCACTCATCCTTATATTTTTCTGCAAATTTCTAGTTTCATCTATTTCATCTATTTCATTGTCTGGGATTTCTGACATTTCTGACAATCAAACAATGTCAAAATAAACTAAAAAAAGGTATTCAAATACATTGTTTACACCATAAATTATCTTTCCAAACCATGGTTTGCACAACCAAACGCATATGGTTACTTTTTTTTCTTCTTTTTTATGATTGAACCACCCATATCGTTAAGTTCACTCAACGCCCTTATGAACTTCTAAGTCTCCTCAAAATGTTTAACTATTTTTACCCAATTTTTTTAATTAAATACGTTTTAAATTACATTTTTTAAATAAATCCATAACCAATTTGGGGTCTAAATGTGAAGAAACTATCCATGCGTTACAGACTAAACTATGGTCGTATAATTGTTTAATCGTCAATTAAACAAATTTAATATCTAATTCTTTTCAAAATTTTATATTCAATATTTTTTAATTTTTTTATTAGTTTAATTTTTTTATATTTAAATAATTTAATATTTCGAGGCGGTGACCGACCCAAAGGTGCTGAGCATAGATGATCAGTACCTAATTAATCGGTCATCGCCGATAAAAATGCATATTTGCACATTGTTTAAATTATCTAGTTGCTACGTTACATTAGAATTATGTATAAATAGGAATTAATTTAATAAAACTTTCTCTCTTTCAACCACAACCAGTCTATAATTCACATCTACCTAACTACCCTCAACATTCCCTATACTCTACAAGAGTTTACAATAATGATATACCGAGATTCTCATTATATCTATCACTGGGTATCTATACGAATATATTTTAGTGTGAAATTACAGGCATACTAAAGGCGGCTTGTAAAATAATAGAACTCCATAAAATTGGAAAAAAATAAGAATCTCCTTAAACAGCAAGGACTCCTGCATTATTATAAAAATCAAATTTGTTAACATGAGTTTGTAGTTTGTTTATTTTATTTTGTAAAATTTTAACATAATTTTTTGTTTACAACCGGGGTTTAACAAAAGAAAATATTTTACCGAAAGTTTTGTAAAGGAAATATGCAATTTTGTAAGCATTTTGTTAATTTTCAAAGTTTACAGATTATGTTGCTAATTTTTAACAAATTATTTAGTTAAAAAAGTACAGGCAGCCAATCAAAACATTTCCCACTGACAACGCATCAACAAGTTCAACTGACTTCAGCGTCTGCAACTAATAGTTTCTGCCTACTTTATTCTAATTCGTAACGTGTATGTAACTATATAATATTATAATATATTACCAAAAATCTGTTATTATTGTTTTTCGGATTTCTTATAACTATTTAACGAGTGTGCGAAATATCCGAAAAAACATGCCTGGTTTTCAAAGTGAAATTAGGGTATACAGTGAATTGGACTAAAGTTACGAAATACATCAGTATATACCAGTATATTGAACCAAATTTCTTTATAATTTGATGATTTCAAAATGGTGTTTTATTTAATTGTGTGTATGTTATTTTTGTGTTCATTTATGTAATAATTTCTTAATTGATTAATAAAGCAAAATGGTACCATGGTATGTAAGTAGAGTTATGATTCAAGAGCTCTAATAATTTAGAGGAATATTGCCCTAAACTATTAAAGAAAAAACCTGCAACAACAATGCCAGGAAGAAATTAATATAATGAGAAATATTATTAAACATGTAAATATATTTTTAAGTTAAGCTATAGCTTAACTTTAAGTGTAATGACGATTTACGTGTCAAGCTTAATTTTCATGTATCCGTTTGTCCGTCAGTCCGTTCATCCGGGAGCGCTCTTATTGGTCCAATTATAATTCGAAAATTATGTCATTTTATCGGTCCGTTAAGTTTCAACTTCGTACGTCTGACAGAGAAAGGTTAAATAATTTTATCTACGCCAGTGAGATAAGAACTTCTTATCCCACTCATTTTGAGAGAGATAAGAAGTTAATTAACGCACGCGTTTTTCTCTGCTTTTAACCAATCAAATAAAAAAGTCAAAATGTCAAAATAACCCTAAATTAAGTCTTAGACAAAAATAATTACCGTTTATTTTTTCATTTAGAGGCGTAGATAAAAATTTGTACAATATACGTGTGATAACGTACTTTTGCGATTGCCCAACTCGTGCTACGCACTCGTTGGGCAAATTTCGCATGCGTACGTTAATAAAGCTCTTATCCCACTTATATCGTAAATAACTATTAACTCATCCGTCACTAAACATCTGTTTTTGACGCCTAACGTTATTTTAAGATAATTTATTTTCAAATATTTTTATATTTTTTCAATAAGATTGTAAAACGGAAATATTACGTTCGTTATGTGAATAATGTTTTACTGTTAAGTTTTTATTTAATAAGAATAACGAAAAAAAAGAAAGGACAAACAAAACAAAATTAAAACTAGAACTAAAAGGGCTAGTATATTCTTTTTATAAGGTATATTTACCTACCTTTAAATTTATTAGACAGCTAACTGTTAAAGTTACAATTGTTGACATAATTGTAACTATGACAATTAAGCATTAGAGAGTTTAATACCCATATAGCTTGATGACGACCTACGTAGTTCTAGTCTAGGTAAAGGTAGTATAAGGTTAACATTTCGGGTGTAGTGATTATGCGTTTCATTATTTTTTATTAGGTTATGTTTATTATTAAATGTTAGCAATAGTACTTCGTAGATGTACATACAAGGGAGTGGAAATATGTTAAGTTTTTTGAAAATGGTTCTGCAAGAATGTGTTTGAGGGCATCGCATTAGACGTTTTTGTGCTTTAAATACTTCGTGACTCCTAGGGCTATTACCCCATAGTGCTTTCCCATACGCCATTCTAGAACCCTGGGCGTAGTAGAAATTCTTACGTTCTTGAATGTCTAGCACATATTTTAAGTTTCTAAGTTGAAAATGTAGAAGAATGAACAATGTTACATTCGAATTTCGCGCTAAATGTTTTATGTTGGTAACACGTTTTGTAACTAGGAAGCTAATGTCAAGCATATACGAAAACATGTCATAATCCTATCTGTCCTATTTTTTTACATAATAAACCAAGTTTGTTAACTTAGAACGGTGTTTTATTGCCAATCTGTGCACCTGCTTATAGGTTATGGGCTCAGAACGGTGGCAATAAAGGAGTTAAAAGTGGTAAAAACTGTTGTGTGTAAAAAACGTAGCGTGTGACAGAGAGAAAATGGCGGACTCGAAGAATGTAATGAATACAATAAAGCCGTTTGATGGTTCCAACTTTTCGAATTGGGAATTTAGAATAAATGTGCTTTTGGAACATTATGACGTTAAAAATGTGCTAACCGAAAAACCTCCTGATGATGATACAAAACTAGCAGCGTTCAAGAAGTCGGATGCAAAGGCAAGAAATTTATTGATAAATGCTCTTGCGGATAATGTTTTGGAGACAATAAAAGCTAAATGTACGGCCAAGGAAATAATGGAAACATTAAAAGGTACATATGCAAAAGTAGGAGTTTTAAATCAAATCTCGTTGCAAAGGAAGCTACGTAACATGAGTTATACTGGTGGAGAGCCATTAAATAATTTCCTTGTGGAATTTGAGAAAACTGTAATTGGCTTAAGAAACTGTGGTGGTACAATCCAAGAAACAGAAGTAGTCTCGCAGTTGTTGGCGGCTATGCCAGAGAGTTACCAAGGTGTAGTAACTGCTATCGATGTTTTATTTTGTCAAGACCTTGATGACGAAAAGAGAGATAAAACAGTAACACTTGATTTTGTAAAAAGTAAGCTTTTATCAGAAGAATCCAGGCAAGAAAAAAATTCTCAAGCAAAACCTTCTACAACTCAAGCATTTGTAGGTGAGAAGAATAGAGCTTTTGTGAAGCAAACAAAGGAAAAAAAGAAATTTCCTTTTAAATGCTATCACTGTAAAGAAGTTGGGCATATGAAACGTGATTGTCCTAAGCTAAAAGGCGCTAATATAGCTGAAAATGAAGACCAAAACATAAGTTTTGTAGCTACTATGAAGGAAAATGCATTTATGGTGCAAGAAAATTCAAACGTAAAGTTTATTATTGATAGTGGAGCTTCAAACCACCTTGTGGATAAAAACGTTGGAAAACTTCTAAGAAATGTAAAAGTGGTAAACTACAAAATAATGACAGCAAAGTCAGGAGAAGTCCTAAAAGGAACAAGGCAAGGTGACTTACACTTAAAAACGGGAAAGGGAACAAATATTAAAATAGAAAATGTAATAGAATGTGAAAATATTACACACAATTTAATATCTGTGAAAAGTATGCAGCAAAAAGATCTGAAAATTGTATTTGACAATAACTCTGTCAAGGTTATAAGGAAAAACTCAGTTGTAATTGAAGGAAAGTTAGAAGGAAACTTATATATTTTAGAATTCAATGGAGAACAGAGTATGGTTGCAAACATAACTGAAAATAGAAATCTATGGCATTACAGAATGGGTCATTCCCAGAAATATCCATCCAATGGAGTATGTGAAGTGTGTCTAAAGGGTAAGCAGACAAAATTACCTTATAATACATTACCACATGAGAGAAAACCAAAAAGAATATTAGAAGTCGTATCATCTGATGTATGTGGCCCCCTGAATCCTCTATCGTATGACAACAAGAAGTACTTTGTAACGTTTATAGACGGGTTTTCTCATTTTGCAATGTGCTTTTGCATTTTGAAGAAGGATGAAGTTTATGAAAAGTTCAAGGTATATGTTGCACAGGTCGAAGCAAGGTTTGGAACCAAACTGGAGCGTCTTAGATGTGACAATGGCGGGGAATATACATAATGTATATTCTTGAAATCTTGTAGATGTATATTATACATCTACAAGATTTCAAGATTTTTGCAAGGAGAAGGGCATTAAGATAGAGTATACAATTCCGTATAATCCCCAGCAAAATTCTATTGCAGAGAGATACAATAGAACCATCCTGGAAAAAGCAAGGTGCCTAATAATAAGTGCAAAACTGGACAAAATATTCTGGAGTGAAGCAGTAAGAACATCAGTATATCTAATTAATCGCTTGGAAACTTCAACCATACCAGATAAAGCGACA